TATATAAAAGTAAAAAATTTTTATATATATACATATAAAATACATATATACACATACGACGTTGAAGAAACGATAGCAGAAGGCGATGGAAGGACAGGCTGATCTTCGAGGCAGCATCGGGTAGGAAAGCCTTTCCTACCTCGGCTTTCTTCGTTAACGAATGCTATGCAGGTACGATTGTTTAACGCAGCAAGCGTGAGGAGTGAAGCTTTTAGCCAAGACGAATGAGACGACTGACTCAGTCTCGGCACCAACAGCAGGAAATTGCGTTTCATTGTAGCGAGACGGTGTTTGCTTCCAAGGTACGATACCTACCGTTCCCTTACTCATTCCACCCCCTTTTCGTTCTCTACGAGCCTGGGCTGTTTGCAATGAGATACGAATGACAATTACACTAGGTATGTAACAGCCGTCCTTCGCCGCGACGATTATTTAAGATATGTCTAGATATCTATTGTGCGGAGGATCAAAATCGTCAAAGAATGTTTATCTTGCAGATAGACGTGAATCGTTCGATTCTATATATATAAATTCTGAAAATAATTTGCAGAATCTTATATATCAAAGGATTTCCAAAAAGAAAATAGGAAAATCGTGTCTTAAAGTATTTAAAAAAATTTAAGTAAAAACTTTCGCAACTCGAGAAAAGCATTGCGATAGTCTTCTCACTCATGGTAACACTCTGTAATCATCTTATCGAATGGCGAGGGGCTGAATATAGGAGATATAACTCATATATAAAGATAGCAAAGAGGACTGCCAAGCAGATTGAGTGCGACGGCGAGCCTGTCCCCACATGGCCGAGCCTCGGTTATTTATATTCATATCGATGCATAGGAAAAGTTAGTAGCCTTCTTACCTTCGCAACTATCAGCTCTCTTTTCCGTCCCTTCGCAAGAGCGAAAGCGCGCGTTGCATCTCAGTGCAACGGCCATAAATACGAAAAACTCGTACAGTCAGCCGCTCGCCGGCGATTTATTGCATATGAGCTCTCGGATTTGTCAATCGCGTACCGGTCCCCTCCTCTGACCGTGTCGTGTGTTGTCTCCCCATTCGATTTCTCACCGATGTTCTCGATACTATCGAACGCTTGTTCCACGGAATAAACTCCATAAATCAACTTTCCGAATGTCCCGACCACGTGGATACCAGAGATCGCGGCGAATAGCCACCTGCCGCCTGACAATAATGTGTCTTACATAATTTAATTAGCGATACGAGATGAAGCAAGAAAGAATTTTTAATACGTTTTTAATATTTGACCTAATCGCCTATTCAGTAAACATTCCTATGAATATATTATTCTATAATAATTCTTGCACACACACACATATATATATATATATATATATATATATATATATATATACTAATATATATATATATATATATATATATATATATATATATATATATATATATAACATTTTTGTACAGATATGATTTCGATTTTCTAATATATTTCAAAAACTTATTTCATATATAATATTAAAGTTGTTAACATTATATTGTTGATTGTTGAGGCGAGTTTATTGTAAAGATGCTCGTTCGCCCAATTTCAGCTGTGTGCGTGACGTCTTTTACCGTCAGCCCTTAGCTCTCGCTCGAAGGTTTCGAGAAAGAGTGCTGCTGGTATTACGTACACGTACGGGATGCCCCGTTAGCCGATCGATTTATCAAGCGGGACAATTTACGAAGGAACCGCCATGAAGCTCATCTCAAAGCACGGAGGTGGTAGATCGAACCTGCGGCCACCCAGAAAATAGAGTGTCCTGGAACAGGTCGAGCGTGTCTACCAATTTATGACACGTAATTAAAAAGTCAAGCGTCTACGATAGAATCGTCATCTTTTAGAGATATATTTTATTGACCGAAAAATCATAATACGACGGTAAATCTATCGAGTTTCATTCAACATTAACAAATTACATTTATAGTGGCGATTAAATTTTTACATGAAACTACGGGTATTCAAAAAAATGCTTCTGAATTTACAATGCCCCTGTTATTATCTTTTTAACACCATAACACTTTATTTTATAATATTCACAATTTCCATAAACTTTTGAATGTTTTATATATGTTCGCATATAATAAATATATTTTATCGGAGAAGATTTAATTACATGTTACGATATCATATGTTCAGTAAAATCACTCAGATACTTTCAAATTCGACACATCGGCGAAAAATCAATACTTGCTTTCTAAAATAATTGTCACGCTTGCAAATCCTTCGATATAATTTCGCCGACTTATCCGCATTATCCTACACATCCGTGTTTGTAATAATTATCCATAAATAATATCAATTAGCTCTGACGTCAATGTTAAATGTTTAAAATGCTACGCGCGTTCAATCTCAACACGCTCGACACGAGCGCGTTTAAATTAATCGAAATTTAATTAAATTTCATGTAAATTAATATCCGCGCTTTGAATTACATTTTATTTGCGTTGCGTTTGCGCACAATATTTCCAACAAAAAATGTGCATTTATATTTTGTACTATATTTATACAGTCTTATAACATAAATCTGATTCTTTTGTTTTTTTTCCGCTTGTTAGATAGGATATTTACTTGCATGCTTGCTTCTTTTGTGCTATGCAACTGCGAAGCAGTTGTTCACATTAGAATATGATACGAATTCTCGAAATAACATATATAAACCGACTACTGTTTTTCGATTTGCCGAAAGTATTAATCATGGGCAAAATTTTTGTGCGTAAAATTTCATATCGCAAATGAAATATATTTCCTGCAAAAATTCTGCATGGAATTTGCATGGAATTAACTAAAATATTGATACGATTTCAGTGTATCAAATAGATTAACATCATCAAAAAAAAAAATGCATTTTGATACTTCGTATATTAAAAAATATTTGCCTGAAAAATTTGTATTAGGCTTAGTTGCGCTTTATGCAGACATTCGTGTTAAGCTTGCCTTACCAACAGAGTAAAGTAAAGTTGAAAAAAGAGAGGAAGAATACTATTCCACTTCGTGAAGAGATGGCGGAGGTACAGAGAGGGAAAGAGAGGGAAAGAGAAGCTGAGAGGGAACGACGCGATTGTCGCTCTCTTCTCATTATACATAGAACTCGGACGAATGCAAGAGCTTGCTTCCAACGGCAAACTTCCTTGAAAATTCAGGCTGCAGGGAGGAAAGTTCTTTTAATTTCATTTACTCTAATTTGTAAGGTAACTTTCCAATAGTGATTCTCTCTTGCAGTCACGGCACCGGGAATATGGGTTGAATTGGCGAGGGTGTATCGGCAAACTTGAGCAGTTTCGCTGTCCTATCAGCTCCCGCTATTTTGATTCACTTTGTAACTTTTACGTTCGAATTGTCGGCCCGCGAAGGTGCGCGTATTTATCTGCATTCTAGTATCTAGTGAATAGATAAAAATTGTAAAGGTGATACGTAGATAAAAAAATATCGGAATTAATATATGATATAATATATATTAGAATTAATATATATATATATAAAATTAAATAGTTAAGGAATGAGAAAATATTATATATTTCCAATTAAATGGTATTAAATGATATTAAACAGCAGCGCGGCGACGCTATATTACAACTTTGTTGAATGTCGGAATTAATTAATCTGTCTTTGAATGGATATCTTTCTACAAGATCGAGAATAGCTTTAAGGGGTGGCTGCTGTCGGTTGGTATTTAATTAATTGAGAATAATCCGAATTTGTGCTTCAGTCAGATTCCGGTTGTCTCTGCCTTGGGACGGCTTTTCGCGCTTCAACCTTTTCCAATTCATCTCCCAGCTTCGTTTTCTTCTACCATCTCGACTATTGTTCTCCTTGGACCCTTCCGGAGCGCAAAAAGTTAGGGTATGTCATAAATATTCCAGATTTTGCTCCAAGAAATAGTTCATCTCACCCATAATTATAAGGATTATATTGAAATATAAGAATTATGCGCTGTAATTAACGAAATATATTATTGTTGACAACTAATGTACTACAAGAAATAATTTAACGTTTAAAGCGTAACTTTTCAGCAATTATTTTTGACTTTATGATATGTGAATCAGGAACCGTGCATCAAGGATATTTTCATCAACGTCTAATAATCGTTAGCAAAGTGATCGAGACTCTTTTAACTTCAAGTGGATTGACTTTTATTACGACTGAAAACGCTGATATTTCTAGGAAACTCTGGTTTGAAATTCACGAACCAAACCGGCAGTGCTGTTATTTCAAGTAATGGGGTATGTTTATGCACGCGAAGTAACTAAACTTACCTACTCCTCAAATGAAGGAACGTAACCTTCTTCAGCAACGGGCTCTCCTCCGTCTCTCGAAACGCGTCTCTTCTTCCGTCCGCCTCGCTCCATTCTGAATGATAATAAGATTTGACTCGTTAGAAGTTTCATTAGAGCTTTGTTTACCGCGTCTATGAGCGAGAGCGGGCGAGAAACGGAACGGAGACAAGCTGAAGCTACTCCGCGAAGGTGTTGTTCGCGTCTGGTCGAAGAATGTCTGGCACTCATAACACACCTCGAGTGCTAAATTCACAATATCTAAAAAGCGCGTAAAGAAAATGCCAAGGAATCTCACACAAGTTATTAACAAATTTTATCGCGGTCCAACTGTCCGCTTTTGAATCCGTATATACATCAGTATACATAATCAACCGTATATCGCTTGCGTATAAGCTATAAATTAATATTAATGTAAATTTTTTTGAAATTATTACTGAATTAATCTATTCTCTTTATAAGTATGGTGGCTTTTATTCTTTTTTCCTTTTCGACCGTGGAGAAAGAATTTTATGCTTTTCAAGCTGAGATATGCGTACGTTGCGGCTTTTCATTTCTATTTTCGCAATTCGGGGCCTTCCATTTCCTCCCTATTTTCATAAGATAAATTTATAAAAAGTATCATCCAACACTTCAAATGGAACTTTCTAAAAAGTCGAACAGCGTTTTTAATTAGCACTACGGTTTATACTAATTTCATTAAAGTTTCCCTCATTAAGGATCTCAAAAAATTTTTTTAACCGTTTGAGACCCAAAAAGGATATGACTGACAGTGCAAATACGTACATTTCCATCCTTCGACGTTTGGTGCTCGAAGCAGCCGTAAGTGCTCACTCACGCCGACATTTCAATTTCAGGCGGAAGCCGGTTCCATTTTTACGTGGAGGAGGGGGAGGGGGGGGGGGAGAGGGGCTACAGAGAGAAAGGGGAAAAAGAGCGCTCTCGCTTTTACTCGCGGACTAATTGCATCCTGCGTTAATCACAGTGACTTTTTTTTTTATTCTCCGCGCTGCTCCGCTCTATCTCGCGTCATGCTTTTATTCAGCCATAGACACAAAACAGGCCATTTATAATCGAGATAGAGACGAGGAAGCTAAGAGATAATCAAGAAAGACACGGCGCTGTGCGTTCGTATAAACGCCAAATACAAAATGAGATGGATAGCGCACGTTGCGGATTCCGGACTTACGTAAATATGAGCATCGCGTTTTTATTTTACTTCCGTTACGTATCTAATAAAATATACAAGTCTACTCCGAGTGTCATCCGTATTTGGAACAACTTCCGCGCGAGTTTTGGTACATTTTTCAAATTGACATTTCCACGCGACGAATATAAAATACGACATGCGCAACCTCAGTTAGAGATCATCAGGCGCTGTTAGTGTCGGTCCACAATAGGTGATTTGAGCTTTAAGAAGTAAGAAATTGACCAATATATAATCGAATATGAAAAAAAATACTCGACTATGATTGGTCAATTTCTTACGGCTTAAAGATTAAATACTTATTGTGGAACCGAAACACTTACGCGGCCGAAAAGAGTTGCGAGGAAGCGCGTGGGATTATCGCGTTGACGAATCAATTACGTAGATGCGGCCGCGATAACGAGTCCTTGGCGACTGGTACAGACAGCAAGAGAACGCAGGCTGACTTATTATCGCGAGGAGCGGGTAGATTGACCCGCAGTATGAATGATAAATCCCGACTAGGCAAATACAGTGATTTAACATTCGCTAACGAGTCATCTATATGGTAAACAGAGGGGCTGACTGCCGGTAGCTCACAGCTCTCGCCTATAACACGACCGTCCTCCAACGCCGTGCCACAATATCAAATACCTCGGTCTCTTCCCTCCCTCCCTTTCCTCGCTGCATGGATTTAACCGATGAGCTAACATTTGGACGAGTTCCCAAATTCGCTTTTACCACGACACCGACACGGCGCCACGTCGAGTGCCAGAGGTGCTATTTCGCGTTCCCTCGCAGTCGCGAGGCGAACGATAACGTCGGAATCCGATATAATCGCGATCGCGGAACGTTTTAATTGTTTTAATCCCAAAAATCGAATGTATTTTGACAGCAAAGAGGAAAGATGCGACAAATCCCATGATATCTTTCGCCTCTGAGTTCTCTTTGAAAATTTGAATCGGAGATTTCAATGTATTCTTTGTATATATAATTTGTGCCTCCGTGAACTAGAACGTATGCGAAATTCAAATCGCGAGAGCATATAATGAATTTATTACATTTAAACGTCTAATTTTATAGGCCAAAGGGATATTGCATCGCATCCATAAAGGTGGAGCAAATACTCTTAGCTGAAGATGGAAGTAAAAGCATTTCCTTTAAAGTAAAAGCATGAAACAGCATATCTTATATTTCATGTATAATCTTTTCTTTCTTTTTGCGAGGCATTCGCTTTGTATTTTGAAGTATTTGCCTGTGAACGTCGTCACTTCGAAAAGATATCTAATATCTTTACTCGCACAATTCTCGATGTATTTGCTTCATTGATAAACAAAAGCAAGCGCGTCTGTTCTGTTTTATTCGTACGATCTATTATCGTCTTGCGAGCCACGAGAAGGATTGTGCCTGTAACACTTCCGACAGGAGTGGATTTTCTTGCGATAAAGCAAGATTGTGAAAATATCCAGCGGAAAAAGAAACTCTGTCATCTGAAAATTTAGAAGACAGTATCAATTTCAAGAATCGTGCCCCAGGTCGATTTCCCGACGTCGCAAGCAGCGTCCGAGTATAAGTCCCTTATTGAACGAGGAGAAAGTCAGTCTGGTACGCCAAAGCCATTTTTCCATAGCTTGATCTATGGTATCAATTTGGCCGCGGTGAATTCCTGGTTGACGTTTGAAATCGTTATTTATTACTCGTAAGTCCGCGAAAGGTGGATCCGTCCGTGAACCAAATTGGATCGAGATCGAACGAAAGTAACTCTCAGCACAACGCGCGCTCCCTTTTACATTCAATGGCTCTCCCGCGTGTTTAATTTCACGAAAATGGGTGCTGTATTAATTTTTCACAAGCGCGCAAACCTGGAGAACATATTATTCATGCGGATACGCATCGCGTCTCCCCGCACGAGGATAATTGCAATTAAAATGAGTGTGCCTGATGCGTTATTCTAACTTTCGCCACCGCAACTTCGTCCGAGATCGTATATATATATATTCCGTGTCTACGAGAGGCAAAGACTCCAGCCCAAATGCGTATTACAAACACTGCATAATTGGCAGAGAATTCAACAGGCAGCAAGCAAAGCGAAATCGCCGGCCCGTGAAGCGACACCGCGCTTCCGGTTCGCGTATTCGGCTCTGAAGTCTGAAACGATATCTCGACTACAGAGCCTGTCTCGAAATATTTTCAAGAGCGAGCGCCAGACACAACCCAGAGATATCGCATGGTTGCTTTTTCCACTATGGCTCCCTGCCAAATTCTTCCGAAAGGATAAAAAATTACTTTTTCTTTGACAGACTGTTATAATTACACGCATAATTTTATTGTATAATATGTCGGTTTTTTTTAACGTTGTATTGCAATGCGACATAACAACGTTTATGAAAGACATAGAATGTTTATGAAAAGATATTACAAAAAAGGTGTGCGTCATATAAAACGCGTATTTCAAATTGTAAAAATAGATGATCATTCTGATGAATATTCACAAACGTCTCGACAAATGTAACAGAGTAATAACACGGATGAAAATGAGTTGAATATAATTGCGCAAAATTTCGTTAACGCGGATTTGTATTTACACGCACAGCTGCTACGGGGATTTATTTCTTCCTGGTGTTTATTTATTCCTACTCTAATTGAAATTATCAAGTCATAATGGGTATCGGAAAAAAAAATAATAAAATACGTTTCGCGAACGCGAAATGCATGCGACTCGAAATGTCGCAAATGTCTAAGTATTAACAGGAAGGACGGAATCCACCGCGCCGCGAATACTTTCATCGGATAGAGAACCCTGAAGGATTTCGTAGGTTGGGGTAAGAGCGAACTGCTGTACCGTGCAATGGATCGGATTAAATATTATTATGAGGAAGAACGAGACGTGTCGTGCCGCACGGTACAGTCTCCGTTCTGTCCCCCTGTCGGTCGCCGCTACGGCGATCCCACCCCCGTACCGCCGACTCTTTCCCGTGCCGCGGCAACCCCCGGCAACCCCCGACAACCGCCACCGCCAACGCCGTCTCGTTTCACGGGAGTGCTGTGCTCGCGCTCTGAAACCGAAGTCTCGAAAGTTTGGCCCCTTCCCAGGAGCGGTGCCGCCATCGACTACACCGCAAGGAATGCATTTTTCATATCCTCACGATATTACCGCTTCCCGTTCCATCCATTCTATTAATCGGTCTGGAGGAAAGGAGGGATGATGCGACGGAGAAAAAAGTCGCACGATGCAACGCGAATTCGGGGGGGTAAGATTTGTGCCGTAAGTCGCCGACGAATGCGAGATAAGTAGACAAAGAACGAAATTGGACGAACGTCAGAGATATTTCTGACTTTTATCATTATTGCTTCTTAGCGTACTTCTCGCATCCTTTTGTTCCACCTCTTTTTTCCATTTCTTCTCGGCTGTCGAAATTTGGCGGATTTACACGGCAAGCTATCAGAATCACACGTTACGATCAAAATGTAATTAGCACCTTATCGACTTATCGCGCTTTGACGCCGGAGATACGCTCGATGAGGAGAAACCAACCTGGGTAGAAAGGTACCGCGGAGCAGATAATTAAAGCCGCTCGTGGAATGAGGCATAGCGAAAACGTGAAGACCGTTTTCTTCGACGACGATTTTCCCGTCCCTCTCACCGATAACGGCCAACGACCGGGATATTTCCCGAGAACACCTCGTATTGGACATCGGAGAATCGCTCGGCGATCCTCGACGAGCCGCTTTTGTTCCGAGAACAGCAGCCACAGACGGTAATTCTGCCCGAGAGCACCAATAATTTTGATATGTAAATACAAGGTGGAACCCTTGCCTCGCGGTATCGGCCTGATTAAAATATCCCGGGTGCTCGGATTACCGTGGACTCGTCGCGAAAGCTGTCCCAGCCAGACATCTTATCCGTACTTAGGGATCTTTTCCGATTGGAACTACCGCCATAGACCAGATGAGTCTCGTTATCGAAACGTCCGAACTATTTTTCATACAACAAAAGTTCCTTACTGTTTT